GATGATAGTTCCAAGTTACTTCTAACATCAAAATATGCAGAAGAGGTGTCATTAAAGACTATTTGTGCTGAATATGTTTTTTTTTCCATACATTCCAAATGTGATTGAATGCAATCTTGAAGATTTATTGGTTTATCGAATGTCATGGGTCATCTTGTTTCCTATTCATTGGAAGCTACATAAATCATCCCTATATTAAGATGAAGTAAGAAAGCATCAGTCGCTCTTATTTTCTTTCTTCTATGAAAGATCGTAGCTCGCTCTTTCAACCCTTGTCCCCCTCTGGGAACTGTTTGAGTTTTGACATCGACCGCATTTCCTTTTGATCGTATTACGCTTGACTCCTCTACAGAGTGTACACGTAGAGGGTAGTTCCCAAATTATTTTACTATTTATGAAATCACTTAATAACAGTTCTGTGTTTTTCAAGTGTTTGGAAACAAAACTAATAGGAAGATACCAATCAGGCGTGGCTAGTTGTATGAAAATGGTATTGTACTAATCTCAGTTTCTGTGTGCAGCTAGGCGAACCAACAAAGCTGAAAGCCAACAAACAGAATCCAGGCATATCTCAACAAGGGCTCCAGACCAGGTAATTACTTTAGGTCGGACCATGAAACAACTGGGATTCGGCACATAAAACTGAATGAAAAACATGCAGAGACTGAAAACATGTACTGCTCCCAGATGCTGTTGTTACTGCTGTAACAAGATGGAGCATGCCTGAAACGGTTCTGGACTGTAGTTGATGAAGAAGTCGCCCCACACCGTGGGAAGAAACACAGGCGCCACCTCTGGAACGGCGGCGGTGGCGGTGTCGGTAGCATCATGGGACGCCATGTGAAAATGTGTAGTCTGGTAATTGGTGTAGTGGTGGTGTGGCTTTGAGAAAACCTGGAAGGGATGACGGCCTTATATATACACAGCATGGCTGCGCGGGAGCACTCATCCAGGAAAGTGCGTCTTTGAACGGAGCAGGCGCCATTTAATGTTCTCCGTGTCAAGAATAGTCAGTCAATGTGATATACTCCCTTTGTTCCTAAATACAAGGCCTTTTAGAAATTTCACTATGAACTACATCTGGATGTATATAGACATATTTAAGAGTGTAGATTTACTTATTTTGCTTCGTATGTAGTCCATAGTGGAATCTCTAAAAGGTCTTATGTTTAGAAATGGAGGGAGTATATGCCAACATCGATGATGTTATGTTAAATGTGTAACTGGATCGGTGCACCGGTAGCACCAATTGCCCCGGTGCACCAGATAAGTCTTCTCGGGTGTGGCCTGGGCACAACGAGCAAACCTCTTCGTTGGTTGTAGCAAACAACAACACACTCACTTCAGTGTTTGTAGTCTATATATCTGGATGTAATAATTATCAATTTTGGTGTTTGTTGTATTGCCATGATTGAAGACAAATAGGTTGAAATTTTCTGGCAAAAAAAAAAAAAAAACAGTGGTCGCTGCAGCTACAGGGCTGGCCTGGGGCATGAGCAGATCCTACTCAGCTACAGTGCTGGCCTGGGGCTTGGGCACATCCTGACTCGGCTACAGGAGTATACCCCCGGGGCCTGGGCACATGCTGACTACGGCCCTGGTCAGCCAGAACCACACCTCTGATCCAATTTAATCCGCGTCTTCATTTGGATGAAGGAGCTGAATTGTCAATACGTTTGACATAATTCCGACGAACACGACCTTGCCGAAACCACGAGCTCCGTCTGATGTTACTTGAGAGCTGCAAGTCCGGTCACTTCTTTCCCCATCACGGTCAGCTCTCGCGAAATTAGGGCCCCAACATTGCATTTAACTCCTTTATTTCCGCCGGCCGTCAAAGTCCCGGTAAACTTCCGCCGGCTGCAGGCCGCAGTCTACTTCGCGAGACGGCGACGCGCATATGATATCCGCGTCCGTCATGACCAGTTGATTTTGCTGGACCGCGAGATCGAGCTGGTTCTGAAAGCGCGAAAAGTAGTAGTAGTAATCCGGCCCATTCATGCATGCATGCATGGATGGCAGCCGCGCTCTCGTCGTCGGCGTGCCGTGCCGACCGATCGACGACGTCCGGCTGCCGCTAAGCTTGACGGCTATAGCTGAAGCTGACCGACCTGGTGGATAATAAATTAATAATGAAGTAAGAACAGAAACCTTCTCTGGCTGCGTACGAACTGGCTCCTCCTCTTCTAACAATGTCAACTTGTACACAGAGATATGGCTTAGCTTGTCATTAATGCGATATAGCAGCCGCGCGCGCTGTGTTCCGGTCAGCGTATCGGCGAAAACACCTTACGCCGCCGCAAATTACGAAGGCGCGCTCGACCGCGAAGGCGAAGACGATGCCGATGCCGACATGGAGGACCTTTCCCCCCTTGAAGATAGCGTGCATGCAGGACTATTGGGCTCCGCCGTGCTCGATCATTCTGGTCGACGCCATGTCGGGCCCATTGATTTGCCTTTCTTTGTTTTTCTAATCATAGCAGGAGGTTAAGCTTGTGATTCAGCGCATTCCTCTTCGTCGTGCTACTGACACTTTACTCAAATGGTCTGGTTACTTGCAACTTTGACGGCCGCTTAGCCGTCCCCGGGGGAGAGACGCCATCACCTCCTTCATCACCCAGCTTCTCTCGATGACGCTCCGGATGGCTCCTCCGCTTTCCCCACCACCGCCGGAGCCGGATTAGATCATCTACACCTCGTTGCCGTCGCCTTGTTGTGTTGTGTTTGTGTGGCCTCGGTGTTGGGCTTGTTGTGCTGTGCCCACAGCTGAACCTGGGTATCGTGTGTGACTCTGTGTCGGACTGGGTGCGGTGGCCTTGGGTGAGTGCGTGTTTGTATGGTTGGAACCTTGGTACTGTATGCTCGGCGGTTGCTTTATTTATAAAGCGGTGCGAAAGCCTTTTTCGGTAATCATAGCAGGAGGTTTTAGAATGTTCATTACTTAGGAATATCCGGACCCCTTCGCGTCGCCTCCTCTCGGCAACGCCAGGGGCCCCCAAACCCTAGCCGCCAGCCCGCCTTTGATCCTTCCTCGGCCGCTGCTTCTACCAGCAAGGGATGCGGTGGCAGCGGGCCCGGCGCCAAAGGCTCCTGGGTGGGTGGTCGCGGCGGGATCTCGCGTGAGGTGGATGAGACGCTTCATGGGGGGATGCCGGAGGCGGCAGTTAGGGCGGCACCCCTACTGCATGGCGACGATCGAGGCTCCATGGCCGGCAGAGTGGTCGACCTGGAGATGGATGGTGGCGGTGGCGGCGCTCCATTCATCGAGGTGGGCTGTTGTGCGTGCAGATTGGTGGCAATGGTGGCTGCGGATCTGGTGCCCCGCCTAGGTCCATCTCGGTGTGGCATTTGCCGGACGGTGGCGCGAGGAGGGACTGGTGAGGGGCGGCTGGAGGCTCCTGCTGGTGTGCCGTCGATGGCTTTCATCTTCACGGCAAGGCTCCGTACGGTTCCAGTCAGCGGCAAGGTCAAGGGGGGAGGGGGGCGACTTCTAGTGAAAACCGTGCCAAATACGATCATGGCGGACGAGGCGTCTATGCCATCGTTCCCTTCTCGAGGCATCATTGTTGCGGGTTACGGAACCATTCTCGGGATGCTCTGGAGGAAACCCTGGATCTGGGTCTTGTCCTCCTGGATCGGACGACGACGGCATCTTCGGTGCCGTTTTCCCTCCTGGGGGCGTTGTTTTGGAGCAGGTGCTGACTGGAGAGGCCCAAAGGTGGAGCGGCGTTACATCTTCTGCATCGACGACGGCGGATCTCGGCGGCATGGCGTACTGGAGTCTCGGCGTCTGATGCGTGTAGATGGACTCACACAGGAGGAGGACTCTATGTGGCATCATGGTGGCGTCGGCGACAAAGAGGCCTGGCAAGGTCGGTGCATTGATGCCTCCTAAAGATGGGGCAGCGGAAGGTGGCGGCGGCAATGCCTACAGCATGGCATGCGGTGCGCGCTCAACGTCTGTTACAACCGGTTGGTTCTCTAGACTTGCCGGCAGGCAGTTTGGGGAGACCGCCGGATTAGATGGTGCTTTGGCGCGAGGTCAGGCACTTCATGAAGCTTGTCGGCTGAGCTTGTCAAGTAGGTGGCTTTGGGTTCATCAATGTATTTACTTTGTTAGACTCTGTTGAATAAGTTAATAAAAATGGTTGTGTGCATTCTTGGGTGCAAAGGCCGGGGGTTTCAACCTCCCTTTCGGAAAAAGGAATATTCGGCCAAAAGAGACCTATACAATCACTGTTAGGTAGGACCTAGTTTGAAACTGCAGTTTCCTTTTTCACCTTTGCAGTCTGTTTCTCTATGATACTGAAACTGCTCATCCTTTTTGTGGCTCTGAAACTGTAGCTCACACGGTTGAGTCTTCTTATATTTTTCTGCAGGACTATGTGAACAATGTGTAGAGCCAGATAGGCAATGCCCAGTCAATCATTGTTTCCCGAAGGTCGTTTCGATTTTTATCGTTGATTATTTTTAAGCAGCAGTCAGTGTTGTTTTTTGAAGGGTCACAGTCAGTGTTGTCCTATCTAGATCTGTATACATCAGCTGAAAGTAATGTTTGTCAGCATTAGCTATCCTCTACTTTTCCTTGAGAAATGTTCAGACATCATAGCAAAATATTTCATTTTTACTTTTTGTTTTGTGTTCAGACAAACTTCGAGCCTAATTTTGCTGATTTCTAGTATAGTCACGGCAGTTGATTTAGTGTCAATGTGCTGATTAGACAGTTCCTTTATATTTTATTCATAGTATTGTTCACAAAATACACACCAAATAATGCACAGTAAGCCTGATAAGAAAACTGAAGCTACGTTTTGTTGCATTTCAAGTAATAGCAAATAATGCAAGCCTTATTGTATTCATTGTAAATTGTTCACAAAAGATAATGATGAAGCCAAGGTGCAGCAGATTGGAAGGATACATCTTTCATTAGCACAGGGTAGCTGGTGCTTGCTTCTGTCCGTGGATGATTTCATGAACAGGCATGTACCACATCCTCATGTCTAGAGCTCAATGGGACTGACAAACAGTCGCTTAATCGTCCCCTCAAGATGGCTGCTGAACGTAAAGGCATCTGTCTTGTCATCATACATGAAGGGCATGCTGATCGTTATATTTGCGACTCGCTGCACCGCCGGGAGCAGCAGCTCAGGGAGCTCAATGCGTGCTTGGTTCGTAGTCTTCCATGCATCTTCGATCAGAGACCCTATCTTGGCAATGGCGACCTCACTCGCCACACCGTGCTCACTGATGTAACATTCCACGGAGCTGACCACATCATTTTTGTTCTTCCCACGCTGTGAACAAACAAATGCTTAATCAGGGTAAGGAATACGGCTGGTAATCTTGGAGATTGTAATTTGTACCTTAAATGAAGCAAGATCATTCATGAAACGTGTCACCTCTGCGCAAGCCCTGACGGCATCAGTACAGCCGAGGGCCCATTCCAGTGCCTCCTTGGTTGCAGTATCGCCCATACCCACTAGCAACCCAACACATACCCATTGTCCACCTGAGCACACACCAGATACCTTCACTTGATCATTGAATCTTGGCTTGTGATTCTGATGAAACCATTCGGCTTCTTGGAGATAGTTGCTTGATAATATTTGAAACTACAAGTGAGAAAGTGAAACCGTATTAGTACTTCTGATGAAAGATTTCGATATGTCGGCGTCGTGGATATGAATGTAGACAATTAATATTTGAAATATACATGTGTTTTTCGCTATTATGATATAGAATCGGATTTGCTATCCACTTGGGCTGGGAGTACCTATATCAGTACTGAATTTCTAGTAATACTTTTATCTCATATCGATGTATATGATTTTTAGATCTAAACAGTATTACATATTTGTGCAGAGCATGCTGCATATGTAGCATAAAGTTCTGTGAACTGGAGATCTTCTGATGTGAAAAGTCATCAACTCGGAGAGATATATTTTTTATACATTACCACTATTTTTTTTAAGTCCCAAGTGTGGTAGGTGTTGTGAGAAAAAGGGTAAAATTTGTGACTGACAGTTACAGAAAGATAACGGAAAAATAAATATAGAAAGTAGCTAGGGAAAATAGTCGTCGTTTGGTTGTGAGATGAGAGTGATATACCGCTTTTGTGCTAAAAGCGACCCGGTACTTCTCATCCGGTTTCAATACGTCCTCAAACTCCTTGAAGGTGCTCATCAGCTTGAGGTAGAACTTCTGTAAGTACTCTGGTAGAAGAGAAATAGCACTCTCCTCCCATCTGCATACAGATTAATTAGCTACACCACTGAATGCAATTTTGTGACTCATGTTTTATTCTCAAGTTAAGAAGATCAAGCAGCTAGTATCATGCTTCATGACAACTCCAACCTTTGTATAGCTTCATTGAGCTGTCTACACTCCACCAAAGTAGCACGGACATCGTAAGTGTCGTCTGTCATTACTATTACTAGTAGAATGCCCGTGCGTTGCTACGGGCCTTTTAAATTATTTGAGTATCTATACTGACAATTCAATGGTTTTTAGTATAAGATAAACTCCAATGAGGCCCTGGTCTTATATTGACAACAGTTTTTTAGTAAGAAGAATATTATAACCCACACATAATGATGCCACATTTGAGAATCCTCCAAAGAGTGTAATCATGCCCATGACATCACGTATGAGTCCATATTGACCAGTCCATGGTTTTTGGTATAAGATAAACTCCAATGAGGCCCCCGTCATATATTATTCCAAGTGACAACGGTTTTTTAGCAAGAAAAATATTTATTACCCTCACATGATCAGACGCTGCAGCAATCGTCAATCCTTCAAAGAGTGCAATTAATCAAGCCCAGCTGCCGCTACCCTTGCATTGCAGGAATAAAGAAGACATTGTCAAACATTTGTTCTATTTCAGAAATGTGAGTTAATTCTCGCTCATGCTTATTTCCTCCTCGGTGGTTGTCATGTCTCTTCAAACCATCTTCTACTTGAGAATAGAAGTGACATATTTTTCTCCGCCCCTCCTTCCCCTTCATATCTGCTCTCTTCATCTGCACTTTCCTCCTTGGCAGTTGTCCTACCTCTTTAACCCTCTAATTTTGAGAAGACAAGTGACATCTTTTCCTCCACCCCTCATTTCCCTGCACATCGTCCATCTTTCTCTAGAATTGATGTCGCTTCAAAATATCTCATCTCGCTCTACAATCATAAAAGGAACATTATCTTGAAATCATAGGGAAAAAAAATAATCTAGCATGCTCTCTGTAATAGGAGCAGCACCGCAACCTGGAGCAAGATATTTTTCTATTTTAACAAATTTTATATAAAAAATAATTTTTATATTATCTATTAATGTGTATCTATCCGTACCATAATATTTTTAAATATTATGGAATTAGAGAAATTTACACGTTTTCTCATTCCATTCCCGTGGAGCTGGGCTGGATGAGAAGAAACTCTTATGTCCAGTTTTGCAGTAGTAATAGGACATTAAGCAGTAAAAAAATAGCATATGATATGTGCAAGTGATGTCGAATGTACATAGGTGTAAATCGAAATCAAATTCTGATTGCAGGGCGCCTCTTGTTAGGTAGCCAAAAAGTGGAAAATTGAATTGAACTTGTTTCAAGTGCCCATTTGTTTCAAGGGAACAAAATAACAAGGAAAAAATAGAGGTTGAATGACAGCAAGTGTCTTACTGTTCCTTTCCCTTCTTCAACCACATTGCACTCATCTACTTCATCGCTAATGCAAAAAACCCGGATCAGCAATCAGACCATTCCGTCACAAACTGGTCACAAAGTGTAGTAAAAGTAAATAAATTAAATGCAACAATTATATAGGGAAAGCTAACCTGAATACCAACATAGGTACACAGGTAGAAATCAAACTCATAATCTTTGAAATATGTGAACAAAGCAATTTAAGGACACCAAGGTTGAATAAAATAGACCGCGGCAATAGAAAATGAAAAGGCTAATGCACTCAAACAACTACTTCGACCTGAAGATGGAAAGAAACAACTCGTCTAACACACACATACAATAACTGAATACTAATTTATTTTTTAACATGGAATAAAGTGGAAAAATATCTCAGTCAAAAACATAACTCGCACCTGAATAAGCATGGTGAATTAAATATCTTCAGAAGGAGGCCATTCCTTCACACAGTAACGGGCTTCGGGCTTCTGTTCTTCGTTTGACATAGCAAAAAGCCACAAACATGAAACTTACCGCTAGCAAAAGATTGTCCAGATATTTCTTGAGCACACAAATAAATGTGAACTTTAGAAAGTGCTAACATAAGAGCTATCAGGCCAATTTCATCTACAACAAGAACAAGCAAGGGTCAATACATAACAACTATTAGAAGCAAATTATCTTCCATCAGCCATTTGAAATTAACATCAAAATATTAGAAGTTCATGCATCATACATCTTAACCATGGGAAAGATAATGATTACTGCAGGTGCATGCGCATGTGCCAACTGAAGGTGATGCAGACCACCCCATCTTGCTCTCCTATGCTCCCTACAAAACAATCTAGTCAAGAGCAATGCAAAAATATTTAAATGTAAAAAATCAATTTTTGTAGATGATATGTTACAGATCAAACCGATCTTTTTAGGGTTCTAGATGAATCCAACAGTCTAGAGTATATAGCCTGGACTTTTTTTTCTTGCAGAGTGGAGGCGCGGTAGAGGAAATTGACATGATTTTTTTCTAGCGATTCCATATAGGGAAGTTCACTAATTTAACCTGGTCTTCCTCCATCTCCCTCGGGTCGCCTTGTCGTGCTCAGCTATTATCGACAGACCCTTGTACAGGCCGCCACCGCATGTAGTCGTACACCAGAGCCAACACAAGATGGAAGAGTAGAACTGAAATGTGAGAGTTGCCGCTGCTGCCCTTAGTCCGGCCGTCGCTCGCTCTCAATCGACCATAACTGCGTTGAACTGACGGGATTTTTGGGTGGGTCGCAGCTGCTGACCTACCAGTGGTGTTGAAATTATAGAAGATGCGTGCATGGCGGCCGGAAACATCCTTGTCTCCGCTAACGACGCTAAGATCGAAGTGTAACTTTTCTTTATTGGAACTGTGTCCCATAGTGATTTCATAAGATTGCACACTCTGCCGGCGGTGCATGTTCTCCTGCTCGCTCGCCTAGGTTTCCCCCCCGCGCGCGCGCGAGAGAGAGAGAGAGAGAGAGAGTACGGAGGTACAAAATAGATGGGTTGACCAGTGTTTCGCATACCGGCTGAAAATCGGTGTATTCTAAAAACAAGTGTAAATATGTCCCAAAACCGACCATCCAAGCACTGAACTCAGTTACAACTGATTTTTTTGTACGGGTGCATGTTTTACAGGTGTTTGGGGCTGAAAACGATGACCCAAGCGTGGCCTTAGCCTCATTAAGCAGGCAATTAGACAATGTTTGAATCCCCCTCCCCCCTCCCGCCCGCGCCGCCACCCGCGAGGCGGCCGGGGCGGGCGCCCAGATCCCGCCGCCTCCGGTCTCCCCTCCTCCTCCTTCCTCCCTCGCCGCCGCCAGGGGGCACGGCCGGGCTCGCCTGACCGGCGCCGGCGGCGGCGGGGCCCTGCTCTTCCTCCTCCGCGCGTTGGGGGCGACGCGGGTCCCTCCTTCGCGGGCGGGCGCGGTGCGGGCGCGGGGCGCCGCGGCGCGGC